CACACATCGCTGCCTCGACGTGCCTCCCGCACCGCTGCCAACTTGGCCTCCACCGGCGCTGACGCCCATGTCGACGCCACCATCGTTGTTCACCGGTCGAGGAGAAGCAGGCCGAGAAGGGGGGTGCTCTGCCGCCCACATGGAGCGGAGTCCTGCCTCAACGACTGCCCAGGGTATCGCCCCGTACTCCTGGGCCTCATGGCATCTCCTCGCATCCTCCAGCTGTGCCTCCAGGGTGTCCATCACCTCGGCGTCACCTACGCGCATGCTAGTGACTGCACGGCTGCCGGTCTACGAACACGATCGATAAGTGCAAAGTCGGCTAGTCTGAACTACGTCGCGGTGTTCGATCCACGCTCACCGCACCATGCGGAGATAACTGCTGCAACGGGAGCTAGGCTACGGGCTAGGCACGGGTGCTCGTGTGATCTCTGCGTTCCTTAGTCGTTTGCTTGTGTGTTCTCTACTTGCACATTCACGGGGAGATTTTGCAAGAGTTTCACTAGCAAAGATTGACAACAATGGTAGCAACAACATTGGCATCACAGACTACATCAGAGCTAGCTAGGCTGCTGGTCGACCTCCAGCGTAGCATGGTCGACCTGGACGCCACACCTGCCATGCAAGAGGGCATGGCACCTACTGATGCACGTCAACGTTGCCGTCGCCCACATCGGCCAAGCACACCTGGCCGATTGCGACGGAGCACTGGTTGAAGGCCGGATAGTGCAGCCAACTACAGCGGCGCTTTGCCAACTACATCCTCCGCACCCAGTTTTCCCACCCCTGGGCGCACGCCATTGGCTATGCTGCCTTTGTCAACGGCTCCAACAGGTGCGGCCCCCAACCCCACCCCCAACCCCACTCCCGCCCTCTCCCCCGCCCCTGCCCCTGCCCCCTCTGCTGCCTGCCACTCCTCCTCACTCTCTCGTCCTCGCCCTTCCTTCACCTTCTCCCCACGCCCCGCCCCACCCACCCCACCCATCCCACCTCACCTCCACCCTCCCCCTCCCCTCCCCCTTCACGTCTCTCGCAAGGTATGTGTGTGTATGTTTGTGTGTGTATGAATGTGCCGTAAGTTGAAATATACGCACACCACGTACTGTGGCCAGGTTAAGCCACATGGATAGTACGAACAGGAGGCTTGGATTGATAAGCTGAGCTGAGTGGTGAAAAGGCCGGCTTGTGGCTTGTACATCTATGCTCGCTGCCCGAGACAGGTCGAGCCTGTGGGGCACATCTTCATCGGCCACGGCCGCACGGATTTGGCATCTCATCCCCAACGTTCACACAAATGATGTTGCATTTCGACAGCTAGATTGCACAGATGGCAGGAGCCACCCGTCGTACGGGCCGTAGGCAACCCGCATGAAGGATACGGGCGATAAGATTCTCACCCCGCCTTATGTGCTCAACAATGGCCATCCATGCATGGGTGAGTGGACGGGCAGGGGCATGGGGAGTGGGCTCATGTCAAGCATGTTCACAGTGGAACGTGTCTTACCCTTGTGCTCTCTCCTCCCTCATTCCTGCCCCTCCCTCTTATTATCGACTAAAAAATTGTTCGACTTTTGAGTCGACTAAGAATCAACTCCATGTCATCTATTCTCGACCCGCTTTCTTGTTGCAATCCAGCCATGACATTCCCGGTCTTCAAAGGCAAGGTGACGACAGAGTCGCTGCTGCGAGAGAGGCAGGTGATGTTCATGGGCGTGATCGCGGCGTGTGTGGACTTCAACCGTCTCGCCGAGCTCATCATTCTCGAAGTGCTCCATCAAGGTGCGCTTTACCATCTCGCCATCTCACCATCTCGCCATCTCGCCATCTCGCCATCTGACCGTCTCACCATCTGACCATGAAAAATCTTATTGGCCTCGTTAAGAAAGCTGTACAGTCATAAATAACAACACCAACATGACCACGTGTCACGCGCACCTTGATGGTGAGATAGTAAAGCGCACCTTGATGATGAGATGGTCAAGAGCACCTTCATGGTGAGATGGTCAAGAGCACTTTGATGGAGAGAGCTGTACAGTCATGCAGGTGATAGGCCTGTCACTCGAATTTTTCAGTACGGTTGGGGGGGATTGCTAGTGTTCCAGCAACTTGATTGTGCTCAGCAAGGTAATCTGCTGGGCACACAAAGCTTCACTGATGAGATTCAAAGCCGCTACCTTCCTTGCTTGTGTTCTTCTTGTGCATTCGTCTCCACCTTTCCACGGTCTTCCGGAAAGTTGAAGCCTGCGTGAAAGTTCCTGCATGCAACGCAAGGTGCTTGCATGCTGATCCACTTGCACGCTTGGTGCGCTGCGCTATCCAAACGAAGTGTTCCCCTCATGCTGCTGCAGGCGCGGAGTATTCTCTCGAGGTCTATGATGTCACCCCCACGGATCCCCTCCCTGGCTCCTCCACCCAGCTTGGTCCGCGCTTGTTGTACGGGGTGGGTGACTTGCCTCAAGGCGACCCCATGCAAGTGGCCAAGCTCATTCCACCTTCCAACGAATCCATGTTGCAGCCGCATTGTCACAAGTCCGTGCAGCAGATCAACCTGACTGACTCCTTACGCACCTACCAGCTGTGGTGCCGGTGAGTTGCCTCTACTTCTCTCACCTCACAGCAATTCCTCCTCCCCCATCACAACCTCCCTCTCACTAATTCATCACCAACCTACCACCTCTGATACCAGTGAGTCGCGTCTAGGGATGCCCTGCTCGTCCTTCATAACCGCTCCCCTTCCTCTTCCACGTTTTTGTTCGAGGGGTGCACTTCGGCTGAAGAGTCTTAGCTTGGGGTGCATGGCGATTGTGACTGCCATTTCTGCATCCATCAACCGCTTTGTGGTTTTAGGGTACTGCACTTCTCTGCCGGCAGCATCACGAGTCTCCTGAACACGTTGACCTTGCTATAGTCTCTTTCAAGCCACGAGCTGAACTTTAAATAACTCAAGGTATTGCCTGAGGATTTAGGGAATCTAACGTCCCTGAAGTTGCGATGGCTGAATTGTTTGTCTCTGTCAACGCTACGGCTACCTGATTCGATCGACGACCTTTCTTCTCTGGTGGCCTTGAAGATTTGGGGGTGCGGGATTGCTCTCTCACGCGCATCACTTTGGCCCATTTGCAGGCGCTTGAGACCCTATCGTTGTGTGAGGTGACAGGATTGTGATGTCTTCTTGAAGCACTTGGCCAGATGCAGCGCCTCATGGTCATCACCATGAAACAGCGCATTGATATTACGTTGCTGGACGATGTGACGTTGTCAGCGCTTCGGCTTCAACCTGAGTGGGATGAATTTCAAACGGCTTCGTGGATGCGTCGCTCTCGTCACCAAGCTTCAGGAGCTTTCCCTCGACAGCCTCTAGAAACCTGCAGCAGATGTCTGATGCCCTAGCCCACCTGTCTTTGCTCGATGACTTGGAAGTTCACACATGTCCGAGACTCACTTATCTGTCAAAGGGCATGGGAAACGGGCTGCACAATCTACGCAGCCTGCATCTGCTGTACTGCCGCGCCCTCACCATCTCACTCCATCATTCCCCCGTGCTCACATGTCTCCGTATTTTGGGAGCAAAAAATTTAGAGGCTCTCTGCCATACGTTTTCGGTTGCTTGAATGGCCTCAGAAAACTTTCTGTCGAGAGCTTGTCGCATCTATCTTCGCTTCTTGCATCCATCTCTCACCTTCTGGCATTCATGAGCTTGGAGTTGGAAAACTGCTTGCAGATAACGGACCGGCCGGAGGGGATTAGGCGTCTGGGGGCTCTTAAGGAGGTCATGATCATATGGATGGACGGCCTTGTATGTCTCTCTCCATCCTAATCTCGGCTCACGTCTCTGCAGTCTCTCAAAATTTGCGAGGCCGTCCATCCATGTGATTATGACCTCCTTGAGTGCCCTCAGGTGCCCAATCCCCTCCGGGAGGTCCGTTATCTGCGGGCAACTTTCCAATTCAAGGCTCGTGAGTGCGAGAAAGTGAGGGACAGAGGCAGAAAACAAAAACAGTTGCGACAAGCTCACGAGAGAAAGTTCCCTGAGGCCATTCAAACAGCCGAACGCTTGGCAGAGAACCCTATGTGCCTAAAATTCAGATAGACTTGAGTTGGGAGAATGATGGGTTGAGATGGGTGAGGGCGTGGCAGTACAGCAGATGCAGGCTGCGCAGATTGTGCGGGCCGTTCCCCATGCTGCTGGCAGATCAGTGAGCCTCGGACATGTGTGGACCTCCAAGTTCTCGAGCAAACACAAGTGGGCCAAGGCATCAGGCAGCTACTGCAGGTTCGGGAGGCTGTCGAGGGAAAGCTCCTGAAGCTTAGTGGCGAGAGCGACGCAATTAGGAAGCCGCGTGAAATTCATCCCATTCAGCTTGAAGCTCCGATGCCCTGACAACGTCACATCGTTGGGTAGTGTGATATTAAGGCACTGTTTCGTTGATGGCCTTGAGGCGCTGCATCTGGCCAAGAGCTTCAAGAGGACATTTCAATCCCATCTCCTCACAGGGCGAAAGGGTCTCCAGCACATGCAGACGTCCCAAAGTGACACGCTGTGGGAGAGCAATCAGGCACCCCAAATCTTCAGGTCTACCAGAGAAGAAAGACCGTCGATTGAAAACAGTTCAGCCATTGCGGCCAGGGACGTCAGATTCCCCAAATCCCCAGGCAAGGTCTTGAGTCTTTTGAAATTCAGCACGAGGCTCGAAGAGACTATAGCGAGGTCAACATATTGGGGAGACTCGTGACGTTGCTGGCAGAGAGGTGCAGGATGCTGAAAGACGCGAGGCGGTTGATGGATGCAGGAATGGCAGTCACACTCGTCGTGCACCCCAAGGTAAGACTATCCAACCGAATGCACCCCTTGAACAAAAAAAACCGCTCCCAAGGTTAGGCTCTTCCTTCATAACCACTCCCCTTTCCCTTCCCCTTAATAACCACTCCTTTTACTGAAGGTCCCTCATTTTAATTAAAGTTCAATTAACTTTTAGGCATCTTAAAGCCAGACCCTGTCAATGTTGCGCCCTATGCTATCAGCCTCCATTCCATTCCATCAGCTCCCTTTTGCCCCTAATGTTACCAGCCTCCACTCCATCCCATCGGCTCCTTGTGCCCCCAACGTGCCTCCCCCTATTCCCAGATTTCAGGGCTCGGACAAGGCCCGCAACATGACAGCTGTGTTCCTGGGGGTGATCATCCTCGTGGTGGCGGCACTGCTGGCTGCTATCGGCGTGAGCGTGACCATCAACACGCGGAGGCTGCGAGAGAAGACGACCGCATTGGAGATGCTCAAGGGAAGGGCGGAGGTGGCGGAGCGTAACAAGGGTGTGTTAATTGCCAACACGGCACATGAGCTGCGCACCCCGATCTATGGCATGGAAGGTTCATGGCAATGAGGTGCATGAGATGCATGTGGGGAAGTCTCAAAACTTTGAGAGATTCTTTTGTTTGTTTGTTTTGTTTGTTTTTTCTCGTTCCGATTGTGGCCAATTCCTGGGGCACTAATCAGGTTGGGTTGAAACCACTTTAGGAGGTGACGAGATCACAGTTACCGTGCTGTTTTCAAGTTATTCTAACCTATAGGTATTCACATCCTAATCCCTGCGAATCACCACTTGCTGTGCCGACCACCTGACAGGCATGCTGAAGCAGCTGGACGAGGGGGGCCTGGACTCAGGGCAGAGGGAGGACGTGGGGGCAGCAGGGGAGGAGGCGGAGCGGATCCTGAGGCTCGTCAACGCCGTGCTGGACGTGTGCAAGGCAGAGGCACGCTGCCTGCACCTGGAGAGCGTGCCCTTTGCCCTCCGCCCCTGGCTTCGTGACGTGCTGCACCCTCATGTGCAGGCCGCTCAGGAGCGAGGCCTCGAACGTATTCACTCTCACCCATGTATCACCCGATTCTGCTTGGTTTCCTTTCCTCTTCATGCATTTGACTAATTCTTGCTTTTTTTGTTTTTAACCAAAGGTGTCTGGTTTTTCTACTTGTGACCGTGGGTGCGTGTCTAGTGACATGGTGTATGGACGGCGATGTGCCCAGTGTGCTGGTGGGGGACTGCTTTCGCCTGCAGTAAGTGGTGGACAGAATAGTCGGTGAGTAGAAGAGTTGAATTCAATGACTGGCACTAGATGTGGGAGAGGTTGGATGGGTTTGGTCACGCATAAGGACCAGACGAGTTGGGTCACGCTGGCCTCAAGTCGAGTGGAGTTGAGTTAAGTCGAACGTGACGCTCGCCCTTGGTGAGTCGGCATTCTGTCTACGTCAAGGCTATCTCGAGACAGTTTTTTTTTCATGCCAAGCACCCTCAACGTGGTGGTGGGTGGAACCGGGGCGAAACAACCCACTAGAATTGACTTATGTCGGCTGACTGATGTGAGGCCGGTGATGCACTTGTACTAAATTTACAACGATAAGAAGAGAAGAGAGTAGGCGACTCTCCCAATCGGTTGACGTCGTAACACCCAGTCAGCAGCAGTGTGCTCACACGCTGCTGTTAATTCACAATACTCTCAGTTTAAGGTCAGTCATACACTAGAGATGTGCACAGGTCCGAGCCAAGCCTTCTTGTTTTGAGGCTCGAGGCACGACAAGGCAGCCTGCTGACGAGCCGAGTTAGCAACTGACCCGGTTCGTGTCTCGTGTGCTGAAGGTGAGCCGGCTGAGCAAGGACGAGCAAGTTGTCTATATTATGGGGAAAGTGAGCTGAATGGATCGCATGGGATTGTTTTGGAAATTGATTTGGAGGACATATTCCTTGAGAGCTGCAATGTTCTATCTATCCGCCTTCGTGTGCATTTCCTCCTCCCTTTGGTCTGAACGGGTTCTTGCATTTCAAACATGGGTTGAACAGTAGGACTTCTCACGTGCTTGTGCTATTGCTCCTCATATTCCTTTGACATTCCCCATTGCCTTGCTGCTCCCCCCAGACAACACCATCAAGTTTACGGCCAGCGGAGGCGTGTGTGTGCGGCTGCAGTGCCTTCCCCCCGACACCCACATCCCCACCCACCTGCTCTCCCTCGGCTGCCTCCTCGCTCAACCCACACCTGGCTGCTCCTCGTCTGCCGCTGCTGCTGCTGCTACTGGTGCTGCCACTGCTGGTGCTGCCACTGCTAGTGCGGCCACTGCTGATGATGCCAGAGCGGCTGTGCATCAGAACGGAGTGGGAGAGCGGCTGTTTAGGATGGCGTTTTGGGAGCAGATGGGGCAGCGAGGGCTGGCGAGGGCGGTGACGGGCGCATGCAATAAACGGGTGTTCCAGAGAAGCTTGTCTGCGCAGTGCCTTCGGTGCTACTGGCGCATGCCCCTTGTGCAGGAGGGGGGGTCGGAGCAGGAGGAGAGCGAGGAGAGGGGGGAGAGCAAGGAGAGGGAGGAGGGGAAGGAGAGGGAAAGTGTTCAGGAACAGAGTGATGTGTATTAGGAAGGCAGGGAAGATGGGGAAGGTGAGAGGGCAGTGTCAGATGCTAAAGGTGGAGGAGTAGAGGTGGACGACGTGGGGTGTCGTCGAGTCAGAGGGGCACCGGTGATCCCTCTCCAGCACGGGGTGGAGAATGGTGGAGAGCATTTGTCGGTGGTAGGAGGCAGAAGCAGCGAGAGGGTGTGCAGTGAGTTGAGTGAAGGAAGGGGTGGTGCTGCATCATTGAGTCTTGAAGATGAGTGTGGGCGTAGGGGAAAGGGGCCATGTGAACATGGAGCAGGAGTGCGTGGGGGGGACGTTGTGAGTGAAGCAAGGAGGACAGCACCAGGGGGGGGTGGTATGGGTTGGTGGAGGGGAGAAGTGGGGTGGTGGTGGCATGGTCAGGGAAGAGAGGAGGGAAGGGAGGCGGAGGGTGGAGTTGGCAAGCGGTGTATGGTGCTGGTGGCATGTGAGGACACGGGGTGTGGCATCGCAGAGGAGGAGCAGCACGACGTGTTTCAGGCGTTCATGCAGGTGAGCCCTGCCCCTCATGCAGGTGAGCTCTGAGTATGTGCGTAGAGGCACTAAGGCGTTCATGCAGGTGAGCTGTGCCCCTCATGCAGGTGAGTCCTGCCCCTCATGCAGGTGAGTCCTGCCTCTCATGCAACTCGCCTCAAGCCACACACCTGATGCAACTCGAATCGAGGACTCGATGGAGAGGCGACATTTACCGCTCAAGCAGACGCACTAAAGAGGCACACAGTCGTCCATTTGCACTCTAGTTTCCCAACACTCTGAGTCGCCCGTTCTCTTGCTTCTCACTCCACCCAACCCATCAGACCCGTGCGCATGGAGGCAACGGCATGAGCCTGCACTTGTGCCGACTGCTGGTGAGTCATTTTTAACAATTGCCATGTCTTGTCAACAGTCACCATGTCTTATTAATAGTTGCCATGTCTTATGAACAGTTGCCATGTCTTATTAATAGGTGCCATTTCTTTTACCAATTGTCAAGCCTTATTAACAGTTACCATGTCTCATTAATAGTTGCCATGTCTTATGAACAGTTGCCATGTCTTATTAATAGTTGCCATTTCTTTTACCAATTGTCAGGCCTTAATAACAATTGCCATGTCTTATTAACAGTTGCCATGTCTTATTAATAGTTGCCATGTCCTACTAACAGTTGCCATGTCTTATTAACAGCTGCCATGTCTTATTAACAGTTGCCATGCCTTATTAACAGTTGCCATGTCTTCTTAACAGTTGCCACGTCTTATTAACAGTTGCCATGTCCTATTAACAGTTGCCACGTCTTATTAACAGTTGCCATGTCTTATTAATAGTTGCCATGTCTTCTGAATAGTTGCCATGTCTTATTAACTGTTGCCATGTCCTATTAACGGTTGCCACGTCTTATTAACAGTTGCCAGTTCTTATTAACAGTTGCCATGTCAACAGTTGCCATGTCCTATTAACAGTTGCCATGTCTTATTAACAGTTGCCATGTCTTATTAATAGTTACCATGTCTTATTAATAGTTGCCATTTCTTTTACTAATTGTCAGGCCTTATTAACAGTTGCCATGTCTTATTAACAGCTGCCATGTCCTATTAACAGTTGCCATATCTTATTAACAGTTGCCATGTCTTATTAACAGTTGCCATGTATTATTAATGATTGCGATGTCGTTCTAACAATTGCCATGTCTTATTAACAGATGCCATGTCCTATTAACAGTTGCCATGTCTTATAAACAATTGTCGTGTCTTATTAACAGTTGCCATGTCCTATTAACGGTTGCCATGTCTTATTAACAGTTGCCATGTCCTATTAACAGTGGCCATGTCTTGTTAATAGTTGCCATGTCTTATTAGCAATTGCCATGTCTTATTTGCAGTTGCCATGTCCAATTAACATTGGCCATGTCTTATGAACAGTTGCCATGTCTTATTAACATTTGCCATGCATTATTAACAGTTGCCATGTCATATTAACAGTTGCCATGCCTTATTAACAGTTGCCATGTCTTTTTAACAGTTGCCATGCCTTACTAGCAGTTGCAATGTCTTGTTAACAGTATGTCAGAGGTCCACTGGTGATCCCCGATCGATCCTAGGGAAGGGTTACAGGCACATTTGCCTGGGGGCTTATGGGCGCACTGACCCGCTACTGAAACAAGCCCTTTTATCCCAATGGTCTAGTGGTTGGGATTCTGACATGGTATCCAGAGCGAAGGTCTCGGGTTCGAATCCCGGTGTATGCACTTCGGGCATCCCAGTGCGGGGGGGTGTCAGAGGTCCACTGGTGATCCCCGATCGATCCTAGGGAAGGGTTACAGGCACATTTGCCTGGGGGGTTATGGGCGCACTGACCCGCTACTGAAACAAGCCCTTTTATCCCAATGGTCTAGTGGTTGGGATTCTGACACAGTAGCCATGTCTAATTAACAATTGCCATGTCTTATTAACAGTTGCCATGTCTTATTAACAGTCGCCATGTCTTATTAATAGTTGCCATGTCTTATTAACAATTGCCATGTTTTATTAACAGTTGCCATGTCTTGTTAACAGTTGCCATGTATTACTAACAGTTCTAGCAGGGTGGCCAGGTCTTTATAGGCAATTCAACGGGGTAATTTCTGAGACCATTAGAACTCTCTTATCGCCCTTTCATGCACGTTCTGCAAATGTTAACTCTTAACAACATATTTGCTTCCAGCTCTCCATGATCTGACCACGCTGCACAGTCACACTCATTTACACTCATCCACATGGAGATGCCGGATGTGACTTCATCCCCACACCTCCTCCCCGTACCTCCTCCTCTCCCCTCCCTCCCACCCCCCGTGGCAGGTGTCGCTGATGGGGGGCAGCATAGGGCTAATCAGCACAGAGGGTCACGGCACCACGCTGCACGTCGCTCTGGCCATGCCTGTTGCTGCAGCCACTGCTGCTGTTGCTGTGTATGGCAACTCTACTTCAGCCCGCACGAATGTTCCTGGGCCGGCGACGACTTGTGCTACTTCTTCCTCTACTGCTGCAGCCGATGACACAGCTGTGCCAAGGGTTGTGAAGATGAATAGTGTGAGGGATTGTTTGAAGGAGCTGCTGCAGGGCAAGGCGATTTTGGTGAGATGAAGGACAAAGTCTTTTAAGCCGACCGACTCTAGACCTGAAGAATTATCGTGTTTTTGTAGGGGTTGCTGCAGGATGTTGATTATGCAGGCTAGCCGCAAAATGCTCCTGTGTCTCCTTGTCTGTTTTTACTCACCGCACTCCCCACAACTCGCCCTGCCTTCTCCTCACCACCCTCCCACAACCCACCCCGCCCTCTCCTTGTCCCGTGGGTGGACAGCAATGTGCTCAACCTGCTCATACCTCCCACGAAGCTTCCTTTACCTTCCTTCCCTCACACAGCTGAAAGCAAGATCTGTGGTCTTCTCTTCCTATGTGTGTCAGCCCTTCTCCTTCCCCCCCCCAACTCCGCCCCTGCGTTCTCATCCCCACTACACCCACCCTGCATGCGCCTCGTGCCTAGCTGCACCAGGTGGTAGACGGCAACGCTATCAACTGCATGCCATCTCTGCCCTCCATGCTCATCCCCTCTCTCACACCCGTCCGTGTACCCCATGTGCTGTGCAGGTGGTGGACAACAACGCCATCAGCCGGCGGGTGGCATGTCATTCCGTCCTTCCGTTCTCATCCAATTCGGGGCTCTATTGGACCTACCCATGTGCTATGCAGATGGTGGACGACAACTCCATCAACCGGCGACAAGAGCATGGCATCTCCATGCCTCCGTTCTCATCCCCTTTCAACCCCGCTGCATGCCCTTGGCTCTGCCTGTGCAGGTGGTGGACGACAACGCCATGCACCCCTCCATGTATCCTCTCTATCCAGCAGGTAGTGGGCGACAACGGCACTTCCGTCCCTCTGTTCTCACCCCTCTCAACCCCCCTGAACCCCCCACACACAGGTGGTGGACGACAACGTGATCAACCGGCGGGTGGCAGCGAGCACGCTGGCGCAGTACGGGGCGGAGGTGGCGCTGGCAGAGTCGGGCGAGGCGGCGCTGCGCCTGCTGTAGGCAACCCACTCCTTTCGCCTCGTGCTCATGGACCTCCTCATGCCGGGCCTCGACGGCTTCCAGACCACCGCCCGCCTGCGCGCATTTGAGGCCCACACTACCCAAGCAGGGGTGCAAATGGGACAAGATCTTGGCAGTCGTAGCAACGCATTCATGTGGTGGCCATGCCGGCAGATGTGGTCAGAAGTGTTGTCGCACGTGCCACAGAGGTTGGCATGGATGGTGCAGTGCAGAAGCCACTCGATGAGAGGCTGCTGTTGCAAGTGCTCTCAACACTAAATGGTTGGTAACTCCAATCATGAGTAATTGTATCTGCGTCACTGTCCCTGTTTACTTCTACATGGTATCCGTATATTTATTGTTTGATTTATCCATTATTTGTGCCTCCTTTACATGGAGCGCCTCGGCCACATCTGATGAGCGTCAATTGTCAACGAGTAGGCCCTCATACTGGTGTTGGGGCACCTTGAATGCTCATGGTCCCAATGAGGTCAAACAAATTATCACAACAATAGCAGCAACAACAGCATCAACAACAATAGCAACAATAGCAGCAACAATAGTGTCAGAACATATAGCTTGTGCTTATTGTGTAGGCTATAGTGGGGTAGCCCATAAGGGGTACAACCCAATTAGGGTTAGTACTTGTACTCACTTCATTCATAGTTCAATCATTCTCGTTCTAAGTTTCTCAAATAGCAGCAACAATAACAGCAACAACAATAACAGCAGAAGCAGCAGCTGCAGCAGCCGACCTTCTATCGGTACTCCTCTTCCACACGATCTGGAAGTCTTAGTCGTTGAACGTAAGCTCTGCGTAGGCGTTGACATAGACTGGCGTCTTCAGACGCCAACCAGTCTGCTCCTCGTCGATGATGCGCATACGCAGCTTGTCAACATAGGACTGTTGGTGGAGGCACAACTTCTGCGCAAGTCGGTCACGCACAATCTCCTCGCGAGGCTGATCTCGCGCAGCGATTTCCGCAAATCTCGCAACTCTTTCAGCATTTCAAGGTTGTTGCTGGCGGCGTGCATATTGTCGATGTAGACGACCACCCTGTACACCACTCCGTTCTCGGAGACCTTGAAGTAAAGAGCCTCGTCGACCTGGCTCTCGCCCCACTTGGCGCCGATCAGCACATCGTCGAGTCCCAAGTACCACAGCAGTGGCGACCGCTTGAGACCTTACAAGCTATTCCGCAGATAGCGCACACGGCTGGTGCTGTCATTGTAGTAGTTAGCCTGGTCCATGTAGAGAACTCGGTCGAGCTTGCTTTGGAGGAAGGCGTTCTTCATGTTGAGCTGCACTAGATGCGGTTCAAGGATGAATACGATGCTTAGGAAGGTCCGCAATGTGACGTAGTGCTTAACACATGCGTGAAGCCTTTCACCAGGGGTGCCTTCTTGTAGGCGACCGTGTTGTGCTGTTTGTCAAGCTCCCACGTGCCGTACATGAGGAGGCTCCGAATTTCCTCGTCCATTGCCGCTTTCACCGCCTTGCCCTTCCAGCTCGCCAGCGCCTCCTTGACCGTCATGGTCGCGATATCCTAACAATGATCCGGGACGGCGTGCACGTCGGGGTCGAGCTCGGGAGGGCCGACGTCGGGTTGCGTGTCTTCGAGCAGCGTGTTGTAGGCGACCGCCGGGCAAGCATATTGTCTGAAGAGATATTTGCATATATTTTTATGTGATTGCATGTAGCAAATTGTTTCTATATAACGTTGGTGGTGCACCTTCTTGTTTGCTTTCTTGTTTCTATTTGTACTCTCAATCTTATATTGAAACCTTTTTTTCCCAACTTTCTCACAACCCTAACTCCCTCAACGTTCCTAAGCTTAACACCTGGTCCGTTATTTGACATGGTATCGAGCAAGGTTTCGTCCTAGGCTGTTCAACTTTTTTATTAGTCATGGCCCTCATCACCCCTTCATGTGCATGCTGGTGCAAATCTCGTGCGCTCGTCATGTCACTCAGCGCGACGGACACGACAAATACGATGGCGAGTTTCGTCGGCTCACTGTCTCCCCCCTGCACTACCGCCTACGTCCACCCATCGACTGGCTCCATAATGCCCTCATGCAGGCCTCCCGTTCCGCCCCTGCACTTGACCCCGCCCGCCCTCCTAATCTTCTCTGCTGCTTCCGCAAATGACCCTTCTCTCTATCTCGGCTGACCCTTCCATCCTTGTTTGCCCTAGCCTTCTGCATCTTTGCTTAATGTTTGCTACTCCCGACAGAGCTGCACTAGCCTCAGTGAAGGCCGATTTGTAGAGGAGACACACCTGCACTGACCTGGGTGAATTGCAATGCTATCTTGGCTTGCAGATCACTCGATATAGAACAGCTCGCACCATTACACTGACTTAGTCGCACATGGTGCAGTGGATCTTCGCATGGTTTGACATTTGCTTCTTTTCTCCATAGTCCACCCCACTTGCTGTTGACCATGGACTTACGGCTCTTGTTCTTGACAAGCCAAGTGAGCCTAGTAGTCACTTTTTTGAGCTAGAGGGTTGCCTCATCTTGCAAATCACTCAGCATCCTAGGTCGCTTTGTGGTGCTTGAGAGAAATAAACCTGCCCACTAGACGACCGGTAAGTGGGATGTGCGGTAAATATCAGTCATATGGCTTGTGATTGGACGGAGACAGATTGTCAGCCTTGTCACGCAAACTGACACGTCGTGGGCAGACGATGCTAAGTCTCGAAGGTCTTCACTGGGCTATTGTTTTGTCTCAGTTTTGGAGCTGTCTCATGGAGGCCGACTCGTGCGTCGCCTGTTGCTCTGTTTAATAATGAGGCTTGCAGAGACCCACTAAACACTGGGAGTGGACTACGGAGGAGGGCACAGGGTTGTGCGAGTGATTGTAGCGTTGCACTAGCGTTTTCACGCTTGTTGTGTTCGCAAATAAGTTTGGCAAAATTTCCGTTACAAAATTAAGAAGAACATAAGATTACAATTAGGCATGCAAGTCGATATAGAAAGAATGGCATTGCAAGACCAAGTATGCATTTTGCAGGGCGAACTTTGCCAGTGCAACAAAAGAGCGGCTTGCCAACACTGCAGCAGGGCGGCCTGGCAGCGTTGCACTGCGACGGTCTGCTAGCACTGCAGACGTAGGTGAAGTTGTGCGCATGTGCGCACCTACCAAGTAGGTGCAGGTAGATGGTCACGCCGCCAGGCACATTGCGCAAGTGCTAGGTAAAACACATGTCGACATTTTCGCCAGCCGTTCGCCGTCGAGCACGTGATGCCGTTCTGCTGGTCGACTTCTGCGGGCAGTCGGCGTCAACTTCTGCGGGCAGTCGGCGTCCACTTCAGTGGGCGGTCAACGTCGACTTTTGCGAGCCCGGCTGCACCTCCCGCGTACCCGGCTGCTAAGTCGGCTTCGCCCAAGTGAGGGCGGGGCCATTTCCTGTCAACAAGGATGAGATCTACGCCAGAGATATAGCTGCACAGAAGCTCCGGTGACTAACTCTTTTGCTTATTAACTTGGGTGAGTCGCCTCATGCTGCTCCATTCATGTTTGCTGACAACAAAGTCATGATCCTACTATGGTATGCAAAAGTTGACTGCGGGCAGTCGGCGTCCACTTCGTCAACAAAGTCATGATCCTACTATGGTACTAGTGGGCAGCACGAAGCATATTGAGCTACGGTACTTCCTACTACGTGACTTACATTGGCGCGGCCAGGTACGCCATAGAGGGCAACACTGTCGATATCTTCACCAAGGCGCTTCAGCGTCGTGATCATCAGTCCTTCTGCATTCAGCTTTGTCTAGTTACAAGAGGTCATTACTTGCAAGCTTCATGATCTTTGTTGCTTGCATTGTTTGTGACTTTGCATATATACACACACACACACACGAACGCACGCACCCACACATACACACACACATACGCACCTTTGTATGCACGCATGCACGCAGTCACGCACACATGCCCTCACGCACGCACACACGCACACACACATCAGTGTGAGCTCATTGGCTCGCCTTATGGCATCTTTGTCCCAGAGCTTGGACTAGTTGCGACGCCCTGAGTTTGCTTTTGTTGCTTAAGGACTGGCTCTTACCTAACGTAAGGGGTCTGTCATACTATTTGTTGTCTAGTTCATAGGCTATGTGGCTTCTTGATTATAGGCGCACCCCATTTTGCACCCATACTTATTATAAGCGCATAGTTTGACACATTTTTTTTTTCTATAAAGACTAACAATAAACATCTTCAGAGGCATTTCATTAGAAATCTTGCACCAACAGTTACAACCACCTACTTCGAACTCCATAAACAGGCCTTTACAAAGGCCTTTCTACCAAGAAACCAACTACCTACTCCTCCTCGTCAGACTCGGGCTCCTGGCAGTTGTTGCCAAAGAAGCCATCGGAGATGATGTCGTCGTCGACATCCACTTCCGCGGTCAGCTGGGCTCCTGTCCGCCTGTGCGCCATGGCGAGGCCGTCCTCGGTGCCGTTAAGCGCGTTGCTAATGCCACAGGTGAGGAAGGCGTGCTTGATGAGGTCGGCGGGCACGGCCTTCCACGCCCGTGAGACCCATCGCAGAACCACTGCTTGGGGGGGGGGGGGGGGGGGGGGGGGCTTCTTGAGATTCTCTACACGGACAAAGACACCACGGAAAGCCGTTAGAGCTACAAAAGGGGGGGAAAGGGGGGGGGGGGGGTGGGGGGGGGGGGGTGACACATGCTTATGCATCTCGCTTACAACGTACCTGCTATAGTCAGCTGCTCGTGGCCCTCTTCTTGAAACCACTTTTGGTACTGCTGGCGGGCTGAAGCCTTGAAGCTCTTGTTGATGGGGACGTCAAGGGGCTGAACCTCCGCCGTGCAGCCCGACGCAATAACCGCCGGCACGTAGTTGAGCTCACGGAACTTCTCCTTCACCCCCTCAGTAAGGTGACCACGGTAAGAATCCAGCACCAGCATGGAGCTCTTCGCACACCTGCCGAACCGGGCTTCAAGAAAGGCTTGACGCACTCCTCAA